AAAAACTCTTAAATGTCGATCCCGATCTCTTTTCCCGTATCCTTGTACTGCTACTGAAAGTTTCACTGCCAACTCCAGCAGCTCGGAGCCCTTTTATAGCCCGAGACAGGGCCGGCCGAATGACGTCGGTAAAGGGGAGCGTCCCTCACCCGACACGGTGAGGAGAGATACACCAAAACACGGACATAACAACGCAGCAATAATGCAAATTATTGCGTCTACACAAACACATACACTAACGTTTGAATATGCAATGCCAAATAGTGATGTTTACAGTGCAAAAAGTAACATTTAGAAACAAATTGTTGAACTCACCCTCAAGAAATGGAATCTTCCAGAAACGGGATCCCCAGTACGTAATTTTCCATATATGGTGCATCCTGTAAAAGGGGCGGGCCATGCTGGGAAACACACCATGTGAGATTGGCCGAAAGCGACATGACGTTATGTAAGACAACAAACACAGAGGCTGTTGTGAAAACTAAAGAACTGGGGTAATGGTCAGCAGAAGTACATCCTACACAGCAAAGTACATCAGAGATACATTTGAACATGCATATTGTAATATAGTATTATTGTTTCTTTTTATATTTTTTGTATACTTGTACATTTTTTCTGATCTCCTTACTTTTTATATAGTTATATTTCAATTTTTATCTTATGTGTACTGTAAGCACCAATTCATACCAAGGCAAATTCCTCTTATGTGAAAATTTACCTGGCAATAAACCCGATTCTGATTCTGATTCAGATCTGTCAATTCTGACCTATAAGCCTACGTGTAGCAAACAAATGGATCAAAACACCCACAGCCTAGGCTATTTGTATCAAGACTATGAACATGTTGGGTTTTACTCTTATTGAGCGTTTAATGCATTTTTATAGCTCACGGACAGAGCTATCAGTATCATATACAGGGTCAATCAGGTTTTGTGTCATAGTGTTAGAAGAAGTCTTTCAGCATCAAAAGTTTTGTTTTACACACGCTCACACAATATTAGCAGTGAATTGCAGGGTGGCTATTTGGTGAGATTACAACATCAAAACTAAGATGTGGAAGGTTCAACTGAGTATTAAAAGTGAAAACTGTGGTTTTAAAACAGAAAAATAGGATTAAAACATTTGAAGATAAGATCTGAATGTCTTAAACAATTACTTGTCTCTTGCAATGTTTGCAGTTCAATGCAAAAAAAAATGTAGGCAAGGCTCAACTTAGGCTACTTAAATGTAAAATCTTTGAAAGGAGTGTGTTGAATGTATGCAAAATCTTTGAAGACACAGATGGACACTGAAAATATTACGCAGCAAACTAATATAATTATCGTCATTCAAATCTTATTTTCAAATGTAGTCTTAAAACTCTGGTTTACGCCTTCAAATCTTATTTACTTTTAATTTTCTGATATGTAACTGTAATCTAACCTCATGAGTGGCATGCTTTTTACACTAGTGTGCAACAAACACCAATTAGAGCAAATTAAGAGTATAGAAATGTGGATAAAAAATTGAAGATAAAGAAATATGCTTATCTATGCAAATATAACCGTGGGTAATTGTCTTTTTCTTTAACTGAAAGACTCTAGTTATTGGCAGGAGACCGAGGTATGTACCTAATTTGCTTTAGGTAAGCATACGCCACAAACACCATAAATTCATGTCAGAACACTTAGTGCCATGTAAATTGACACTGAGCCAGACTTACATTATTCACCTTCCCATAAAAGCCCCTTTCTTTTAATATAGCCCCAGCCTATAGAATTAGCACAAAGACCAACCCAATTAATCCAATTTCACCAGTGTTTTATTGTGGTGATTAAGCATTTACAAAAAGTAAAAAATGAACATAGAGCAAAACAAAAACTGTGGCCAAAATGTTTATTTGTACATTCACAATAGTTCCATAAGTTTTCTTCTTTGTTGCATAGGGGTCCTTTAGGGAATCCCCCTAAACAACAAACAGTTCCCTAAACAGTGTATAGGCTACATGCCACAGGCTGGACTGTTGTTTCAAATATAGTAGGTATTCTATGCTTTAACATGGCACTAATAGAAAGTGTTAATAACAAAGTACAAGGTACAAGGTAACAATTTCGATTACAGCCAGCAGAAACAAATATATGTATCAAACAACAACAAATAAACACAACCACAGTAGCCTACAACATAATTTAAATTGAACAGTGTTATTGTGCCAAAGTGCAAGAGTATAAAGTGTTAATAATAGTTTTAAGTGTAGTGTAGGTTAAATTAGCTTTAACATGGCATTGATAAAAGCATAAATTGTTAATAAAAGTGTTATTGTGTCAAAGTGCAGCAGTGTAGGTTAAAGCAGTTCGCTCGTGTTTTGGTGAACATTCCTGGGTGTCATAGCAACACTCCACCCCTTCGCGTCAGTGACGTCCTTATTTTGCATAGCAACAAGATCGTTTGTGTTGCGACGACGGATCACTCAGCTATGTAAAACTAAACCGGCTCTGCGGAGACGCAGATACAACCTACAAAACGTCATTACGTCAGTGAATGGCCCGAAATCTCTGGTTCACGGTAACAGCGGCAGAGTGAGAGCTCGCTGTGTGGCTGTGTGGCTCTCTCCACGGAGAAACAACCCGTTTACCATGTAGCCTGTTTGAGTATTTTGTTTGACTGGTTGGCAGGAGCAGAAACTTCCCATTCAGCAGCCTACTTAGAGTATTTGTTTTGAACAAGAGCCAATTTTTTTGTAGCCTTTAGAGGTAAGAATAGATGTAGACAATATTAAAAGATGGATTAACAATTAGCATATAGGCCACTCTGTGACCATGGTAATTTAGTTGAAGAACAAAAACAGAAAAACTTGTTAAAAATGATAGGCCTAACCATAGCCAATCAAATCAATTAACTTGCATAAACACAGGGGAGTGCTATTTAATGGATGAGATCGGCTAATAGGATACAACGTATAGGCCTATTTATTTATCATTTTGCAACACACGACATAAAGTTGTAGTTCCCTTTACGCTACTAACAAAAAACAAACGTGTAGGCCTAACATATATCCTACAAATATTTGGCTATAGGCTAAATAAAACTAGGCTATCTTACATGGTGGAGTGCTCAGGATGAATTGAAGAGTCGCACAGGGGGTAGAAGCTGCTCTGAAGTCTGGTGGTAGGCTAGCCTTCTTACATTTTGGGGAATATATTTTGCAATGTAACGTAGCCTGCTTTTAGGTGAGTTAAACCTGCATTATAAATGGCCCTATTGCTATTTTATTTTATTAAAATAAATTAATAAAAAAACAAAAAAATCTGGGCCATTTCATTAGGCTACATAGCAGCAATGGTTTTTTGTTTTTTTGTTTTTTTTTGACTATTTTGAAATGGTCTATTTGCCCCAACTTACATGATCTTGAAATGCTGCTGTCACTCAGTCTAAAAATAAACTCCACCGGTCTGAGCACATTCAAGCTCAAGTCGCTTTGAAGTCTTTCAGCTGTAGGGAGGGTGTCTGTAGTTATGTCCGACCTTTGAACCCTTCTGTTCTTGAGCTGCCGGCGACTGAATAGGCTCAAGCCGACCACCTAATGAAGTGCCGGTAAATAAGCTCAGAGGGGGCTGTGACTACCGGGAAGCTGCCGGGAGCACAGCCCCCTTTGAGCGGGGAGAGGCCCCCTCTATTCACCATCTATCCCTTTCACTTCAGCGGATCTGTGAGGTCATCTGAAACCTGAATATAGCATATCCAGCATAGGCTATACAATCCTTTTATCATATGAGCTGAATTAGGCTGTGCGGGAATAACGCTAGGCTAATTGGTGCCAATAAATTACATGAAAGTGGAAGAAGAAAAGCAGTTATGTTGTCTCATCAGTGATCAGGAGGAAATCAGACACCGAAATCAATCAATTAGTAGCCTAATACTGAACTGACGCCTATGTTGAATTATCTGCATTATTGTGATGTTATTGTGTGTTACCATGATCATTAAATGCCTTTAGCCTACAGATCTATATGTGCATATGAAAGCTGTGCTCATGCTATTCTAAGTGGATCAAGTGCAGGGGTTTGCCCTCCTCTTCTGTCCTACAGCGCCTCTGCGGTCAGCCAAGGCGCAGGTAATGACGCTGTTACATGTTGTCAGGTACAGTGCATGACGGGGGAGCCTTTTAGCGCCTGTTTTACTTTCTTTTTGTGTGAGTGAGTGGGCCACACACAGCCACGCGTCCGTCTGCGCGCTCTCCGTGCGCAACAGCGCGCCCCTGTTAACCGGAAACACCATATATGGATCGATCGGTCCATTCGGCGATTGGCTGCTTTGCTACGGCGACAATTCTGTTGCTGGAGCTCTATTCATATGCAGAGACAGGTGAAAGGCAATGTGATATATGGATGACACTTCATTTAGCAGCTCATAGCCCACATAATCAGCTGGTATCAGCTGTGGTCATTAATCAAATAATTCACAATATAGGTCCAGATTAATAATTGCTGCAGCTGTTTCTATAATATTGCACTGTAGCTTTTACACCAGCATTGTCCTCATCGGAGGGGACACCGGCCCACTGTTTTAAACTGTTAAACTATTAATTTATTACATTTACATCACCTCCCTTCGTCTCTGTTGCCACGAAAGCGCCCTTAGAATTAAGATTTCGTGAACATATATGTGGACATAAAGGGAACAAAATGTATATGATGCAGATGCTGCATAGGCTACATGAAGTGACGTAGTTCATTCATGGAGATGGGCGCCTCTTGCAGGCGGGGGTGTCATTTAGTATATGTACGCTGTTTTTTTTAAATATTTGAGTCATTAAAATAAGTTAAAATGTAAAGTCTGTTAAAATAGTTGTGCAGACATTTTAGGAATGTAATTGTTAAATCTCCAAACGTGCTCGTTTTTATTCCCTCTTACCTCACCCTCTGTGAAATGGTTCGGTCTCACCACACAGATTTCATTCATAAAATTCCAGCTCACTATAAAAAGGGGGCCTCTCCACTATCTGCACAGTTACCATTTATGATCCTGGCACATGGAATATAAAGGCGTTTAGGCGTCTGTTTTCTACTTAGAAAAGACAGACTATTCTATCTTTTTATGCAGAGATTAGACGAGAACATGCATCCAGACTCCAGCACTGAGTTCGACTCATCGTCCAGCTGTAGCACAGCATCGCCTGGCGGGGACACCCCTGGGTGCAGCCAGCATCTTCCTGACTCGCTTTCATCATCAGTGGACAGCGCCAAGGTAGACGCGGATCTGATCATGCAAAAAAAAAAAGGAAAATGAAATTCTTGCAGGATAATTCATGCATAAGGCTAGGTTGCAAAAGGCTAATATGGTACAAGATCTTCACACATATCCAAGTACATTTCACAGACAGTCTTTTCTTTAACAGGATTACTGCCCCGTGCTGACAATGATCCTAGGCTACAAATGCAAGACTCCATGCATCTATGGGGAATCTGTAAAGACAGCGCAAGCTCTTATTTCAGGAAATGTACTTTACACAGACATGTCTTAGTGTCTTGGTCTTGACCTTTCATTTTGAGTGATGATGATGATGATGGTGATGAAATTGAGTGATAAAAATGTGATGAGAGGGCGTGTATACTATCTGATCTTGATGGATTCATATAGACAGTGTTGATTTTGTCTTTTCTTGGCATTCCTTAGCCAAATAATTGATGTACCATTTAAGCACATCTAAAGGTCAGACACGAACGACGTTCTTCATCCATCAGATAAGCTAAATTAGTGTTTGACAGCATGCATATGCATGTCTCTGTGATGTGGGTTTTTCCAGGATATTGAGACCGGTGCAGCAGACTCCTTTGTTCCGACTGTGACTGCAATCTCAACCTCGCCGGATCTAAGGTGGATGGTGCAGCCGACAGTCATCACATCTGTCTCCCCGGCGTCCGGCCGTGCCAAGACTCGCGGCGCGACCCAGCCATCTTCCCCGGCAGGTGCAAACAAGGCAAAGCCCTCCAACAGGAAAGGGCTGAAAGACAAGGTAGCCTATGCAAGAAAACAGGGCAAGGAGGGGGCAGAGAAATAACGTTACGTGTAGCCAATCAACTCAGTCAATAAATCAGCCAATTAAGTAATTTATCCAGGAGTCCGTATTGTTCTTCGATAATATCCTTTTCTATTCATCAGATAGCGGTTGATAGGCCTATGGGCATTGAGTTAACCTGATATATTCAACAGGACGTGAAAGAAGATGCAATTGTTTTTATAGTTAAAGTAAGATTAGTGTACTGCAAATACATTCCTGCAGCGAGTAGCGCATACAGTCATTGGAATGTGTCTAATTGGTGCAGCAAGTACTTTTAGAGTAACCTGCACAGCACTGTTTGTGAATGGGATGGGAAATTGCATAAAAGTGCGCGTTCACGTGCTTGACTAGACCCTGCCAGTGGTGCAGCATTTTAACGCCTGAGCTGAAAGGCAGTCTGCACCGACCAGATCAGTATTCCCAGCATACACAGCAACTAAGATTTTTTTTTGGGGGGGGGGGGGGGTTGGCAAGTGAAATGGTGTTGAAGAGCCAACTGCTGACATGGCAAAACTTAGCGGGATGTGCATTTAAAACGGCTATATCTGATTGATTTTAGCCTTCCAAAGAGGAGGAAGAGAGGAGGAGAATCAGGAGGGAGAGGAACAAAATTGCTGCAGCCAAGTGTCGTAACAGACGGAGGGAGCTGATCGACACTCTGCAAGCGGTAAGTATGCCGTTTTATGAAAACATTCACACAGCACATGCACACCTCCGAAGCTGAGGACATACAGCTATGACATGTCACTAGTCATTACAGATAACAGCAGCACAGCAGGGAGGACTGCAGAGCACCACAGGGTAGCATGTGTTTGCATCTCCCCTCATGCCATTTTTTTCTTCTAATTTTGTCCCTCCTCACCTCAGGAAACTGACAAGCTCGAAGACGAGAAGTCCGCCCTCCAGACGGAGATAGATGACCTGCTGAAGGAGAAGGAGAGACTGGAGCAGGTCTTAGCCTCCCACAAATCATCCTGCAAACTCGCTGCAAATGACAATGGCGATGAGGAGGAGGAGGAGGAGGAGGAGGAGGATAATGAAGATGATGTTGACACAATGCTGCAGGATCCCCCGGCCTCCCCACAGCTGCTGTCCATCTTAGAGAATGGAAAAACCCCAGAGGGCAACACAACCATTGGAGAAGCCGCCATTGGTCAAGACATGGACAGTGCACCTTGCATCTCTGCTGCAGCCATTTTGGGGAATTCCAACATCCTCCTGTGTTCCAGTGCAGAAGAGGAGGATCTGGAGGACTTAAAAGGAGACGACCTGGATGACTTGGTGCCCAGCCTAGAGATGGCAGTGACTTCTGAGATGGCTGTGTCTGTCCCTGACATAGACCTGAGCGGCCCTTTCTGCCTCTCAGACTGGGAAACGCTGTACAAGTCTGTGGCAAACGACCTTGAATCTTTGAGCACACCAGTCATGTCTTCCAGTCCCACTTGTAGCAATTTGCGCACAGTGTTTTCCTTTAATTACTCTGAGATTGATTCCTTGGCTGAGGGCTTCGAGAGCCTCAAAGGCAGCCTCAGCACGTCTGAATTAATGAAAGATAGTCTCAACTCTCCAACACTTCTGGCCTTGTGAATGCAAAGAAGTTATGCAATGATACTGTAATTATATTCTAACCAGCCAGCAAGCTATGATCTCTCTCTCAAATAATCTTTTGTAGTGTGAGTTGTTGATGTTGTGAAACTAAACATCAAAGGTTGTGTAGATGACATGTTTTTCTGTGACTGTAATGGGGTTGACTTCTTCCATACTGTTGGTGCAATTCTCTGAGATGAGAAACTTTGTGCTGGTAACAAAAATGCATGCAAATCCAAGTCATCCGTAATCCAAGAAGCGGTGGTATCTTGTGTTTTTAAAAATCCCTAAATGTGATGTGACGTTAGATCATGCTTGTATATGTAATATTGTTGACAAAGTTGTGTTGTAACACGTGAAAATAGCAGGGTTACTAATGTGTAGTGTGTAGGTGTAACATCTTGCTGTAAGGTGTCCCCTAACTTGACATGTCCTTTCAAGTGTTTCCATAAAAAAAGATTGCGTCATGTATTTTATCAAGATGTATTTTATGACATAGTTTATTTTTTTACTTATCAAAGAATATCAGATGCAAAAAATTGTATAACGCTGGAAATAAAATAAGACAACCACAAACAATTTCTTGCTGTTTGTCATTTGGTCGGGGAACATACGTTTGAATAAACAGTCTCAATACAGGGTTTGTAGCTTCTCTGGAGCTTTCAATCATATCATATAATCTTCATCAGCAGATGGAGTTTGCTTCTAATCTTTAGAGTGCTGAGGAAGATCATGTGATGTGACTGAAAGCTCTAACAGAACAGCAAACCGACAGCTACCAAATGATGAGATGTTTTTCAAGGTCAAGAATAAACTTTAACTTGGGCAATATAGGGAAAAAAGGAAGTTTAAAGATCTAAATCCATGACAACTGAACAAACTACATCTGTTAACCACGAGATATAATCAAAAGCTCCAGAACAGCTAGGCTATGGACCTTGCAGGGAGCTTTACACTTTATCTTCTTATGCTTTATGTGTCTCTATGAAAATAATATGATATGACTGAAAGCTCCAGGAAAGCTAAAGCTGTGGTGTCTCAAATGTTGTTTCCAAGGTGAAGCAACTTTTAAGCACAAGAAGGACTAAAATCTACAATTCAAAGACAACTGTTCAATCTCCAGCTGCTGATAACGATTATGTACTATGATAGCTTTAGGAAACCTGCTAAATAGAGTCAAGAAGGAATGACGAAGGAGTCACGAATAAATTTAATATTAATAACAGTCCATAAGGATGTCAGTGAGCCTATTTTTGGATTCAAGATTGCATAAGGTACAACCATCGGGGATTTAAGCGTGCTTAAAATGAGTGGGAGCAGCAGAAACAGCAGGTTAATTATTTATTCATAGCTCGTTCACTGTTGTCACGGTCGGAGGGAATCCGATTCTACAGCAGCGCAGTGCGTGCTGTGCGTGACGTCAACACGCGGTTGCCGTATTGCGTCACTTCCCATGACCATATTTGGGTAATTGCAGTTGTTTTGTTTCCTTGGCGACGGGTATCATATTTCGGGGCCGGCGAGGACTTTACCGGAAAAACTCGAAGCAGGAGCGAGCAGGAGTGTTGTTGTGCCGTAAACACACGAACCTCTCTCATCAACTACAGAGCGGGCATCGCGTGCATGATGGGAATTGGTCTTTAAGTAATTTAACGGTGCCGAAGCATTTCTCGGAACAGCAAACGGGGCATTAAGCCTAATTACCACAGCCTGCTTGGATTGGATCTTCAACGAGCAAACACTGTTTCGAGGCCGCAATAACACGGCAGTGGCGCATTTAATGTAACCACATTCAACCCAAACCAGTAGCCTACATTACGCATGCCAAAGAGTCTTTGTTGAAGGTTTTACAACATCTGCCATGTTTTCATGTGTGAATGAGAGATGCAGTCTTTTTTTTCGACAGTAGGAGGAGCTACAGCGCGAGCAGTGTTCAAAGCACCACACAACTGAGCGTCTCCTCATTTATCAACCCTGTGTGTGTGTGTGTGTGTGTGTGTGTGTGTGTGTGTGTGTGTGTGTGTGTGTGCGCGCCGTGATGTCTTGGTGCCCCGCTATTTTAAAGTGATGATGGATGGGCCTGTCAACAGCTCTGATGTCTACTGACTCACTCTCTGCCCACTCCACTTGTTCCATCAAACTATTCATGTCCAGCAGTGTGATTCTCACCTCATAGCCTGTTTCAGAGTTGTAAAATGTCACATAGCTACAGTTGTTCACAATCAACCATCAAGCCACAGCCTTACTGTATGAGAGGGGAGCTTAAGGGGAAGAGTTTTTTCTTTAAGGGTGAGATTGAGGCCATTGCCTGCTGTTTCAGTGATGGAGGACATCTTTTATTTCTCTTACTTTAACTAAATATATTAAATTTTAAAGTAAAAATAGTTCAGTATTAACAGTAGGCTATTAACAAATGTAGACACACTTCGGGGTTATTGAAACTGAAACAATGTGTAGCCTAGCATATGTAAAATTTCAGTAAGTAACTAGCAACAGTTGTCAGATAAATGTAGTAGAATAAAAATACATTTTTGCTCTCTAAACTGTGGTGAAATACTGTAGAAGTAAAAGGTTGCATAAAATGGAAATAGATAACATGAGTAGCTCATACTTTAGTGCAGTAGGCCTACTTGGGTGTATTACGCTGAAGTCAGACTGAATTTGTGTATGTGGCAGTGGTGGAAGTATAAGTATAAGTATTCAGACATTTTAGTAGAAAGATGGAAAACTATATCATGCATTCAATATTTTAGTTAAAGTACATAAGTCTTAAGAGCAAAATACACTTTAAGTATCCAAAGGAAAAGCACTGAATTGGCAGCAAAATGGTCCCTGTCAAATACGATAAATAGAAAGTACTCAAAACTGTACTTAAAGGCCACACACACCGATGGTACACCCCACACAGGTGTTCTCAATTATTTTGGTTGATAAAAGATCTGTTTAGGATTGGTTCAGACTCGCTCGCCCTCCTGTTACATTGGTTGCACCTGTGAGGACAGTCTAATTTTCATCTTTATCTTTACTATTTATTCATGAAGTTTGGTGACCTTACATAATTCCCATCATAACGCTGCCATAACTCATGCTGAGCAGCGGTTTAATCATCCAGAATGTCAGAAAACACCTGTGTGGGTGTGCAAGGCCTTTAAGTAAAGTACATTTTTGACTTCTCATAGTAGGAAAAACACAGGTGCTACTAATAAATGTCTCTGTTCTTTTCAAGTGTCTAAGCCATGACAGCGTGACAGTGAGCCAGCATACACAATACCAGGACTCTGAATCTGAAGCAGTTAATTGGAATTCAGCCAACATTAATTTTTATTATTTAAACCTTCTCCTATTATTAGTTACATTTCACATGTGATAAGTGGAGCTTGTTTTAAATTAGATGTCAACTGCTTTTGGCAGCCTATAAGGCCTTACAAATAATAGTAATTAATTATAATTAAATGAACTGCCTGTTGAACTGATTTCTCAAGATTGTTAGTTGTTTTTGCTTAATCCAAGCCTACTCTCACAGGTTGGTGCATATTTGTGTACTGGCAATATGTGTATATGTAACCTATATTGTTTATGCATATGTATGCATGTTTTTACAGTATGAGCTTTTTGTTGTCTGTATAGCACCTTGAATTTGTGAGCACTGACTTGACCTGACTTATTAATAAAGAACAAAGGTTTGAAGGGCAGCTTCCCTGTTTACTGTAATAGGCTGTGTCTCAAACTGCCTGGTTACAGATCTTTCCATTATTTGTTGTGTGCTCACTGTTTCCAACTCTGTTATCTCATTCACCTCCTGACCACTCTGTTTCCTGCTTGCTGTGATATTCCCAAGGAAGTGCTATATTTACTGGGATAAATCAATGTCATACGGGTTTGGGAAGACTGGGTCACCTGACATGAGTAACGCTATGAGAGACGTTGTAACAGTGCCAGAGGTGGTGCTGCAATGCACATGAACTCAAACAGCATTGTGTGGTTCCAACTGGAGATCTTCAGTGATACAATAAGAAGAATTAATTTGATTTATTTTGAAATGAGCATTAACATTAGCATATAAGTGTATAAAACTGCAAAGATGTAATGTCTTTGTACAAAAGAATGTGCTTTTCATAGACTTTGATACGGTGGATGAACAACAGATGGTGAATCCCCGTCTTGCAGCACTAATAACAATGGTAGCTTTAACTCAAATGGAAACAGGAGCAGTGGGTGAGGAGGCGCAGAGTGATAGCTGATGTGAGATGGAGATGAAGATGGGGGGGGTGTTAAAGTTAGAGCAGCATGCAATTTGGGCACTATTAATCCATTAAGAAGGGCATGTGTCTTATGTGTATGTGAGTGCTGCATACACAGGAGTGTGCTGTCATGTGTCATGTATATGACTGGAAAGGAGAATGTTTTATATTTAAAATATATACTGTGTTGGTATGTGTGCGCACACCTTCATGCCAGCTTGTGCACTAAGTAGATCAGTGCATCACTGAACTAATTATGACAAAATATGTGAAAAAGATTTTTTCCATTCATCCATCCAACCATTGCTGTCAGAAAATGGAAAATATCATTCTGTAGTAATGCACCATTTCCAAATTTACTTCCCATGATGGCAAAACATAGGACATCTGTTGCACAGTTTTCTAATAATAACCTGACTGAAAAGGGTCTTTACACATTGCTAGAGGTGTTTTGATGTGATTACAACTGTCTGAGATTATTTTGAAAAAAGGAAGGAAGGAAATTAAATGGAGCGTTGATAAAAATAAAACTTTATTTATTTATTTAACTCTATTACGTCTGCGGTGTGGAGGATGATGATTCAGGATTATGTCTGGAGGTGTCTGGTTTGCTGGGTATTTCCCCAAAGATGTGGTGTTGTTGGATAATACTATGACAAAACAATTAAACTTAAACCTGCAGATTTTAATCAGTTTCATCCTTTGTAGAAAATGAGAATATGACTTGTTTACATCTTGTTTCACCAGGGACGTGCGAAGGAGACGCTAGTGTTTTTGCATCAAACATTATTACAAATACGTGTGTAAATGTCTGTCTACAAATGAATGAACAAAGAGACAGAAAAACACAATGCCTGGTTCTGCAGAAAGCTGTTCCATTGTTTTTTCCTTGACTACTGACGCCCACACAGCAAGAACTCTGCTTGAGTTTGGCATAGCTGCAAAACCACAAACTGCACTTCCTCTCCATTCATCATTTGGCCAGCTGTTGAAAAGTGCACCCAAAATTATGTTTTGAAACACAAAGATCTCAATGTGAATGTTAAATTCCGAACTTTCAAACAGGGAACAGGAAAGACAAGCACCTTGTCTTTGTCACATGCTGAATCAGACCCTAGTTTTCCACAACAGCAGTGTTTTAAGTAATTTTTGTGTTACACATTCACAACTTGTGTCTTCAAAGACAATCTTTAAAAAACAACATTTTGTTGAACAAATTAACATGCTCTGCATACTTGGTCTGTATTTTCAGAGTGCCGTTATAAAGTCTTATTGTTCTTGGCAGGGACAATTACCTCTTAAAGGCTTAAAGTATCAAACAGGCCTGCACCATGT